ATGCATCAACGTTAGACAAGATTACAACATGATATTTATATAATGTTTATATAAATAGTTTACACAAAAAGATAAAAGGCAAACTAAAATTGCTATAGTTTGGAATTCACAAAACCATACTTTATAACATTTCAATGGTATAAAATTTTCATTATACAAGAAAAAGGAAGTCGTAGTTCACGTAAGTATGTTAATGCTCTAATGAGACATTCTCTTCACGGTACCAACCTACCATACACTTTAAGTAATGCATTATAACCAGAGTCTCCCGGATGGAGAGAGAGATAGTTTTGTATAGATCTATATGGGATTGACAACCCTACACCTGAGTTGTTTGCTACTGTTAGACCAGCAAGTCTAGGGTGACAAATATCTACCAATCCCGATGCCTGAAGAACGTTGTTCAGGCATAACAATCATATTAGGCATGGTTATAATAACTCACTTAGGGATTAACTATACTATTTGGTTTATGGGAATCTTACACTTGATTTAGTTTTATAAAAACGTAAAACTACATACTATGTTTTAGTACATTATTGTTTACATTTCTGCTCTTAACGTTTAAGACTACAATTCGCATATAAGAAAATATTGGATTTTATGGAAATATACGTTATCATATTTACAAGGAAAGTTACAAAAGTGTTAAATACATTTTTGGTCTTGGATATAAGACCTACATCCAATTTTATAGAAAATATCGGATTTTCTGGAAGTATACAAAATTACTTTAAACAAATTAGCTACAAATCCTTTTCATACAAAAATACTTATGAACTCACCAACATTATTGTTGACACTTTTCAAAATCAATTGTACTCTCAAGAAGAGTAAACAGGTATCAAAATCTTTTGAGACCAGGAGTTGTTGCATTATGGAATTCTACTTTTTAGTCATTTTGTGTAGCTTTTGAACAACCACAGTATGTAAACAATGTAAATTTTTATTCTCAATGTATGATGATTGGGTTGCTATGTTTCATTTATGTTCAACTATTGTGATACTATGCAATGACGTCATCCACCTCCAGACGTTTCTCCCGCTCCGTTTGGGGTTGTGACAGATTGGTATCAGAGCATTGTTTATAGTGAACTAGTTTATCTAACCATACAAGATATACAAATATAAATACAATAGGACTAAAACAATCTGACTAAAGTATACTTTAAAAATATAAGAATTTATTAAAAGTGTACATACATACATGCATATTAGAAAATAATGTTATAATAAGAAGTATTTAGAGGAGTTGGACATCGTGATTAAACTTAGACAGTTACGTAATCATATCTTGGATAAATATAGTCTGATAACTATATTTAATCTAGATATGACCAACATGTGTTTAGGAATAGTCGAGGTGGACAACAAATCTAAAACTTACCAACCTTATATCAAAAAGATCTAAGAACCAAACATAAAGAATTAAAATACTATAGGAGTATTTTAGAACATTATAAACTTTTCATGTACTTATCATACTTATATTCTTGTACAAACACGATGACAGGTTTCCACATCCCAGGAGATCCCTACTTCCCCAACCAGGGGAATGGAGGGTGGATTGCGGAGGATCCTAAGGAGGATCCCGAAGAGATCCTGGAAGAAGATCCAAAGGAAGAGTTTGAAGACGAGTTAGAGGAAGAGGAAAATAAAGAGGAAGGATCAGATATGGAGTCTGAAGTCATAAAATCTCCACATCATCCGCCCTGTGGGGTGTAGGTCCATTATAGCCTAAACGGTATACAAGGACTCGTGCAACGCCAGTGCCCTCCTCTCAACACGGAGCAAGGTTTTTATAACCTTCGCCACGGGGGACCGGCCGCTAGAGCCCTCCAAGTCATGATCCAGCGGATCTTGGATATTAGTGACTAGACTAGGGCAATGGCGAACCGAGTACTGGATTTGGGAGCCACTAAAAAGGTCACGGATGTATGCACTCGAGACCTTGAGAGGGATTAGTATCCCATGGACTGACTCATTGAGGACCATACCACCGCCCGAGCAGAGGTAAGGCAATATCAAGAAAGACATGCAGCTCTCGAGGAGAGAGTGATTACAGTAGAGCATCGGTTGTCTAAACTACAGGACGCCTCTACTTCATCCCACGGACCGCAGAGGACTACCTGTCATGAGCAGGATACATCCTACTCACCACTGGCTATAGATTGGATTTATGGGATGCGTTGGTGCTACCCCTTTTCTATTTCCTATATGTAGGGCATACCCTATGTCTAAGTGATTACACTATTCAAAGGGTCGTTATGCTACCAATTTTTTTTATCTTTGATGTATTGTAGACCTTTTTATTGGACAATTTTCTCAAAAAAATGTAATGATATCTAATCATTAATGAAATGAAAAATGTATTTTTATTTTGTTCGATGATGTTATCTGCTATATTTTCTCTTTTCATTATTAATTGGCATAATAAAGTTTCAATTATAAGTACAAGCGAATCAATGTAATAAGTAGAAACAAAGGAAATCTCTTACAATAATGTCCGAGCCATAATCTTATCGTCATTCCACTTCATGGAAGAAAATGCCGACCCAAAGATATAACATGTGGAAGAACAATACAACGACACTACCACCACCACTACCTCCACTGCAAGTGGACCTTGCCATGTTTCAAGCAGTAGTAACAACCACGGTGACTGCTGCTATGGCACAAATTAGCAACAACGGTGCAAACAAAAATGATAACAGGAGTGGGTATGGGACAAGTAGCTCTAACCAAGGGTACCCAAGGGAATGCACTTATGAAGACTTTACAAACTGCAATCCCAAGCCCATCAATGGAAGTGGGGGCGTTATTACAACAATTACGAAAACAGACATGCCCATTGCAGAATCGGAAGAAGACTAAATTACAAAAACAACCATTTTGAAACAACACAAATGATGAATTAACAATCTCCTCCTTTTTGTTAAATTGGAATAAATTAGTCTTCATTGCTTCTGGTCTTCAAAAATCTTTGACATTATCTTCAGAATGGAAGCTCTGATAGATAGATAACATTTGATCATGTCAAAAACTCACTTGACATCTGCAACAATGTTGGGGTTATCCAAAAGGCTTCAATATAGGTTTCTTTTTCATAACTGAAGCAATTTCCACATCCATCTTTGCTATCTACAGGATATAACATTTGATCATTTCTTCAAATGTTCATAAATAGGCTCGTACTTCTTTATATCATTTGCAATAATGTAGAATAATGAATCTAGTTATACGGGTTCATAAATGGTAGACCGTCCACTGTTAACTTGTGAACAATATGATTATGACATAGAAATCCTTTGAATTGAATGTTCGGAAAGTCTTCTGTTTTAATGGGTAGACCAACTTTAGAGCCATGATTCTTTTCAGACTCGATGAATCGTATGGAGATTTTGAATATTTCAAGTAGAATGAGAAGGGCTTTCAATTTGGTGCATTGTTGGTGATCAATGATTTCCCTAAATTTTGAGAGCATCTGAAGAGAAAAGCTCTTGGAGTGAAAGGGAAATCGAATTGACACTCCACCTTGCTATTTATGTCAAAAGATGTTTTTGGTTCCAACCAAAAGATATTTGGATCATCGATAGCTACTTTTTGCATCCGATCAAGAGTCTAGGCCGGAAATAAAGCTTTCTTGTTCTAAAAAATCATTTATGAATTCCTGTCTTTGGCCTCTTCAGCATCCAAATTTTCCCTTAGGACATTAAGCTCATCAAGTTCCTTGTCCCTCTTCTCTCTTGCAATTCTTTCCATCTCAGTCAACATCGGATCTTCCTCGATAACTTTTTTACAAATGATGTTGACTTTTTCCATTTCCTGATCCTAAAGAGACTTGATCCTTCCGACCAGTCTTGAATTCCTTTACATTCTTGAAATTTTCAACTAGAGTATTCTATCTTAACATGATCGTATCATATTCTTTAGTTTTCTTCATGATGCCCGTCTTATATGGATTGTTTAAGTTTACCTCCAGTTCTCCCCCTTGTTGCTAAGAAGCCTCGCTTCTCATAATATTCTTGATATAATTAAGCTTCTCAAACATAGGGTTAGGTTTCTTGCTGAGAACCTAATCAACATAGTCAGTGAATGGAGCATCTCTTGACTCGACAATACGTAAAAAAAATTGTTGATTTGAAATTTTAGCACCTTTCTTTTCTGAGTTTGTTCAACCAATGCATGCATAATTCTGTTCTCAGAAGCCAAATCCTTTTGTAATCAGAAAATTCTTTTAGAGATGGATGTATGAAGATCAATATTTTCACGTTGAATTCCGAATCAGAGGATAGAGAGAGCTTCTCTTTCGGCTTGTAAACAAATCTGAAAACCTTTAATTACCTTATTCATAACAACAACATTCTTCTCAGAAGAAGTCATGAAGTCAATCATGAACTCATTGACTTCCTTTATCAATTTATTCACCTTCTCCATAGCTTCCATAATTTTCTGTTATGAAGCTTGAGCATTATTCGTTGTTTCTTCAAGAACCTTAGCATTTGTTGACATAAGTAGTTCCATACTTTCCATGAGTCGTCAACAAATATTCCCATTTCATGGAAGAAAAAGCATTTTTATGATCAAGAATGGAGTTAAGGTTTTTATTCAGCCGCTTATATTACCCTTTAGTTATTGGGGCGTCCTCATCATCATTATCAATGTTAACAGTAAAGGGTTGGAATACAAAGTCATCAATAGGTTCTTAATTGTCCCCAAACAGTATACCAACATCCTCATTCAGATGTGGAACAGAAGAAGAATATGGTTCTAATGATACACCAATATTGTCATTTAGCCCCACATCATATGTGTTACAAGGATTTCCTAAAAGTCCTAATCGCCTCCGAAACGGACTTGATAATATGAACTTATGGTGGAATTGTGACAGTCAAGGTTGAAGGAATGGCTGAGTGTATGAAAATTGGAGTTGAAAATGGAATTGAAATTTGAGGTTGACATGTTTCAACAGAGCTCATCTTTGGTAGTGGAGGAATGGATTATATCGGAATAGATGTAGTAAGCGGTAAGGTTGTCATGGATGATGTTGGTGGATTGAATGGAGATGGAGGAGGAGGAGTGTTGAGATTCATAAATGGTTCATTGACTATGGTATCAAAAATGTCAAATTCTGGAATGGAAGATGATGGAGGAGAAGATAGCTTGACAAATGTCTCAAAAGTGGTTAGTTTGGAAGTATGACTTGTATCTTCTTCATCATTTTTAAGAACATTATCCCATTGAACTTCTGTTTTAGTTCTCTCTTCTGAGTCATCTCGTAGCACCAAAGATGGTGAGCTTGGCTTCATAACTAGTTTCTTCAATTTCTTGGCACCTTTTTCTCCTATTGCAGGAGTATCCTTTGATTTCCATTTACCATATCGTTTTGGTCACCTACGCCAATAATCTTCTTCAACTCAACATAGATTAGATGAACAAAAGATGAGGGCAATTTCCGATAAGCCCTAATTATATCGTTATTTATAGGATCCTTTTCCATCATAACTTCTAGAATGGATCCAAAGAGTGAAATTTTTTGAGGATCATACATAACAAAAATGGTGGTCTAGAGCATCAAAATGTCAGCAATTTGAAAATATGTCATTATAGGAATCTTGTAGTGAAGAAGATCTCATTTGACAATGATGGAACAAAAATGAGCACATGAGATTTATGTATGACAAGTGGTGGAGCTAGTACGTTGAAAAAATTAAACCCATAACATTGACCTAAAATCCATGTTTATACCACTATATAACCAAAAATCAATGTGTAAGAAATTTTGCTCGCACTGTCAGAGTCGGAAATCCTCTCTAGTAGACTCTTGAATAGAAGGGTAAATAAGTCGTTCCAGATAAGAGGCAAGAAGGACTTCCGAAACTTCGACCGTAAGGAAACGTCACATGTATAACCCATCTGATAGAACATCTTTATCATGCTTGTTGTTGGAATGAACCTAGGATCAACACCTACATCAGACGAAACAACACCCAGAAGATTGCACAAGTTGGCTTTCATGATTGTACTTTTGTGGCTTGAAACATCAAAGTTAATGATTTCCTCGGTCTTATTGTATATGGACCTTGAATAAGCCTTGGAAAAATGAACAAGAGAAACATCTTCATGTATTGTCATCGCCTTCATTAATGGCGAAAATCTCATACAATCGATTAAAGGCTTAATCAAAGCATTATAGTGAGATGTGTCAAGGTCGACTATGAGATTTTTATTGGGTTTGATGCTTAACATTATCACCGACGTTGATTGATCCACAAAGAAACATTCTCAGAGGAAGCCATTGTAACAGTGAAGAAGAAGGTGAATAGTAGAGAATTATTTTGTGTGAAGAGTCTTGAAAAATGTTTGCAGTAAGAGATAATGAACTGGTTGAGATAATTTTTATATCAAAGATGATGAGTAGAGAGAGAAACCGTCATTTCACGTTCTAGTAACGCCAAAAAAAATAGCCAATAGGATTCTGCCAGCTCATTATTCTGCTATTAATGGCCATTATAACAGTCATACTGATGTCAGAGAAATTCAAAAGTCGCCATGATTTGAATTCTCCATTACCAAGAAAAGGTCCTTTGGGATTCACCACTTTCGGAATCATTGATCATAAGCTAGAATAGTATCCATTGGAATTACGATCAAGATTCTTTCTTAAGAAATTAAGTGGCCAATTGGAACCAAAACTAGACATTGTAAAATCACAAGAATTTTAGTGAAAGAGTGTGCCAAAGAAAAAAGGTTAATAAAATTCAAAGTGTGGGATTTGTTACATCAAACATGTTTGATATGAAAAGCAGTTGTACCCCGGGCAATGATCTCCTCCTTCTGAGCGAAGAGAGACTTTGAAGTGCTTGTGTGGTTTCCCGATGAATTACGATTATAAATTTGTTGAGAAACTATGAAAGGCTTCTTTTATAAGGTTTGATGGGTGGTTTCAGCTTCAAAATGATTTCAAAACTTAACATAAGTACAAAGATCTAAAAGAAGTAATTGTTTAACCAGTGAAGCCATAAAACAAGTAAGCTTTGGATATTCTTTGAAGTAACTTGTGTTTTAAAAAAATATCCATTCGGAAATCTCAGAATAAAAAAAAAATTAAAAACCTTGATCTTATGGGAAGAAATGACTTGGGACAAGAACATTTCATTAAGACCACTCAAAGGAAAAAAAAAAAGAGATTTTGAACATTTAAATGTACAAACCAAAAAGGTTTTATCCATCAGTTCAATGGTTAAAAATAACTAAAACAATAAATTGTTCACCATCAATTCAGTGGTTAAAATAACTAGAACAATAAATTGTTCACTATCAACCCAGAAAAGGGAATTGTATTTTGGGTTCACTCGAAATCAAGGTAATAATGATTTCAAGATCATAAACACAGATCTTGTCCAACCTAGACCTTAGGTGTAAAACCTGAGAGTCTTAAGGGTTACGTTTATGAACATGAAATAGATGGAAAATAATAGATTTGGAGTCAAACGGTTGGGAATTTACAAAAATCATGTTAGCAATAATTTTGCGATCATTAACAAGAATGTTAATAGCCGAATACCAAAACTGTTTTTGTTCCGATAGTCAAGGGACTACATGGAATTTGTGATATGATATGGTAGAAAGAAGTTATAATGTCAACCATCAATTCCCTGAAAATAAAATATTTTTGATGTTGTTGATTTTTCAGAATACTGAAATAAAGAAAATATTTTTGAGATTTTTGAATTTCTGAAAAGGAAATACATAAACGAATAACATATTTTGGAATTTTAATTTTCTAAAATGAAATAAGACAGAAATAAAGGAAAATATTTTCAGATTTTGATTTCATAAATAAATGACAAAAGACTTACAAAGATAATAGATATTGAAATTTAAATGAACATTTACTTCAGACCTACTCCAAAGATCGGAACAAGTCGGATGTGAACAGTGGAATCCTCCATGTTTCGAGGATTGGAACCATTCGAAAGTGTACAGTAACATGGATGATTACACAGTTAATTTTGGACCAGAGTTAGCTTTAATCATTCCAAATCCTTGTAGGATCCGATTAAATGATACTTCCGGTAAGGCTTTTGTGAAGATATATGCTAACTGATCTGTGGATCGAACATAGTGAACTTCCTCATTCCCATCTTCAATATGGTCCCTGATAAATTAGTATCAAAACATCTTTTGTTTTGGAATGTTGCACTAGATTATGACAGATTCGAATGATACTTTCAGAATCACAATACAAATGAATTCGTTTCATATTGATTTCGTAGTCTCTTAGTTGATTCTGAATCCATATCACTTGTCATGTGCATGATGACTCTGCAATATATTTTTCTTTAGTTGTGGATAAGGACACACATGTTTGCTTCTTGGACTGCCAGCTGACAAGCTTTCCGTCCAGAAATTTACATAATCCTGATGTGTTTTTTCGATCAAGGCCACAACCACCAACGGCAGCATCGGAAGAGGCTTGTACAAAGAATCTTGAATTTGATGCATACGATAAACCTAGTGAAGTTGTTCTTTTTAGATATCGAAATACATTCTTTACAGCCATCATGTGAGGTTCTCATGACTCGCTTGAAACCTAGCATAGTAACAAACATGAAACATTATGTCTGCACAACTAGATGTTAGATATAATAAAGATCCAATCATCTGACGAAACACTGTAATATCCGATGTTGGTATGTCAAGTGAAGGAGTGAGTTTCGTTCCGAACGCCATTGGAACTTTAACGTTCGAATCACCCATCATTCTGAATTTGACCAATAATGTCTTTTTGAAAGCTTTTTGATTGATGAATATTCCGTCCAAACTTTTTCTTATATTTAAACCAAGGAAAAAGTTAATTGGACCCATGGAACTCATTTCAAATTTAGTTTCAATTAATTTTTGGAATTTAGTAGTTAAGATGGGATTAGTGGATTCAAAAATAATATTATCAACATAAATTCGAACTATCATTAAATTATCACCATCTTTCTTTTGAAAGAAGGTAGGATCGATATAACCTTATTTGAATTTAGACTGTTTTAGAAAATGAGTTAGAGTTCAATACCATGCCCATGGAGTTTGTTTAAGATCATATAATGCTTTGTCCAGAATATAACAGTGATTCGGAAACTTTTCATTCACCAAACGTGGTGGTTGTTCAACGTACACTATTTCTGCAAGTTCTCCATTCACTAATGCACATTTCACATCTATTTAATATACTTCAAAGTTTTTGTAAGCATCATAAGCTAAAAATATGCAACTTGATTCAAATATAGCCTTAGGATAAAACATCTCTTGCTAATCAATACCTTCTTCTTGACAGTATCCTTTGTTGACTAGACGTGCTTTATTACAAATAACATTCCGTTCTTTGTCCATCTTGTTTCTGAATACCCATTTCAGACTAACCACATATTCATTTTATGGAGTAGGAATAAATCTCTAAACTTTGTTCCAAACAAATTCATTAAGTTCTTCTTGCATTTCATGAACCCAATCTGGATGATCAAGAGCAATTTTAATGGTTTTAGGTTCTATTTTCGAAATAAATGAATTAAACATGCAAAATTCCAATTTAGAAAAAATTTGTTGACCACGTATGAGAACCCCTGACAAAGTATCTCCAATCACTTGAGATTGTGGATGATCTCTAGTCCATTTTGTCAGTGTTGGGAAATTTTAATCGTAAACTATATCAATCTCAGCAATGATTTTTCAAATTCCGATTGAGCATCTGATTCATTATTTTCATTATTCTCCCCCTGGATATTTGCACTTGAATCATCATTCAAATTTGAGGTCTCCCCCTAGAGTTGAGCACCTAAATCGATATTTGGAGTTGAAATCTTCCCTTGAATTGGAGTGTCATGAGGTTCCGATTGAGTTGGTAATTCAGTTGTATTCTGAATAGGTTGCTCGTTTCAAGTCTCAATTTCTTCAACAACTTTATTAACAATCTTCAGTAATTCATCCTCATGATGATCCTTGGCATTTGATTCTGAAGAAATTGCCCTTTCATGTTCATCAAAGAAATTTAGAAAATCCTTATATAGATTCATAAGAGGAATAATCTTAGAACTTGTTGATGGAAAATTTTATTTAGTTTGACAATCTTCCTTTTGATATTTCTTTATGTAATTTCCATCGAACATAACATAACAACTTTCTTCTATCCTCTTTAATTTCTTGTGCAAAACACGATATGCCTTTGATGTTAAAAAAATATCCCAAAATTATTTTATCATCATCATTCACATCAAATTTGTTTCAATGTTGCTTTGAATTTAACAAAAAGCACCTG